GGGGGGGGGGGGGAACGGAGGGGCAAACGGACTCAATTTTCACGGGCAGATCGGGTCCCCGATGAGCGCGCCATTGGGGGCCCCACGAGGATCCTCAAAAAAGCAGGATTTGAAGATGGTCTTTCGTCCGCCAGGCTCTTTCCCTTCTTCCACTGGGGACACAGCCAACGCCCAGCTCTCCTATCAGGCAATTTACCGCTCGCGGGTCTTTCGCGCAGAAGGGCACGCTGCACTGCAGTCCGACAAACCCCCAGCTCCCAGCCACGCGCAGATGGCGCCTTGGAAGAGGGCGGGAAGTCGGTCGGACTCCGCAGAGCCGTCAGCGTGCCTAAGCATCCAGTCGACGTCTGCTTCAACGGCCTCATCGCGGCGCGGTCCGCTCTCCCCTATCGGCCCGTCTTCCGCTGGCACGTCGCTCTCTTCAGCAGCACCTGCTGCAGACCACGGCCATCTTCCCGTCGGTGAACGCATCGCAGAAAAGACACGGCCGCCTGTGCAAAGGCTGAAATCATCGGCGTCGTCCATTCATCGGCAGCCCTCCCAGCCTGCGACGAGGCGCAGCACGTCCCGGCCCCCTGTGAGACGTGAGGCGAGCACCACGTCTCTTGGAGCGCATCGAGTCGACTCAGAGGCCGTTCGGCTGGCTGGCGATGATCGGAGAGGCGCTAGAAGGAAGCAGGGGGGCAAACCAGCAACAAGGAAAAAGAGGAAGTCTGGCAAGAAGAGAGGCAAGAAGAGGCGGCAAGGCGGCAGGGAGGAGGCGTTGTCGATGAGTCGAGTGTCGTCTAGCAGCTCGGGGAACCTCACGGCCATTCATGTGCGCAACGGGCTCGGCGAAGAAAGCGAAAGCGACACGGATGATGCGGAACACGACGTGCGGCAGGAGAGCAATGCCGGCGACACTGCCCCGTCGTCTCCACTGTCTCGTGGGGCGCAGGACCTCGAGCGCCTCTACAAGGGGCAGATCAAGAAGACGCTTAGCGTGCGGACACTGCCTCGCCCCTCAGCCACCATCCCTCTCCCCCAGCCGGTGGAGCAGTGGATGCTTCCCACATGGCTGAGACATCGAGGCCCCTCAACCGCCTTGTCCCAATACCCCCTCTGCAGCGGCCCTCCCCTGGATGTGCTCATCAGAGGTGGAGATTTCCTAAATCTCCCGGGTCTGCCCGGCATACCCGGCGACATGCTGATCAACCTCCGGCGGAGACGGAGCGAGCTCGAAGAGGAAGAGAGAGAGAGCGCGACCAAGAGGCGACTCAAGACGTCTCTTGCTCACTTGGGGCCGGTGCGGCTGGTTGAGAGCCCCTTCAGCAACAGGCCGCCATTCGTGTTCTTTGAGATGCAGCCGGACAGGGGGGACACGAGGGAGAGGGGTCCTGTGTCCGGTGGTGGGCGCGTGGTCCATGCTGTCAAGGTGTCGTCGGCTGTTCCAACGCTGTATTTCCACCACAACACCTCCGCGCACGCCTACAATTGTGTCGTCAACACGCTGAGGCGTTCGGGTGAGCTGGCCTGGCAGAGAGTAGAGTACATCAATGTTCCCATATGCAGCCAGTGTTCTGTCTCTCCTCTTGACTGCAGGCATGCATCACACGTCGTACGCGTCGAAGCGGTGGAATCTGGCGTGGGGCGGCATCCCCAAGCCCGAGACACTGCGCAAGCTCAACCCTTATCAAAAGATCAACCACTTCCCAAACACGTGGACGCTCGGTAGGTTTTTTCAAGAGAGACTGACAAGCAAAAGCCCTCTTCGATTGCTTTTGCAATGCAGGTCGAAAGGATCTGCTGTGGCGGAACGTCACGCGGATGAAGCGGCAACACGGAGAGGCATTCAGTTTCATGCCACAGGTGAGTGAGCGGCTCAGGGGTACATGACTCACTGGTTGACACCGTGTCGCCCACCTTTCCATTCTTTCGTTCAGACATGGATCCTTCCCGACGACTATCGCCTCTTCGAAGCCGCGAGGAACGAACGTGAGCACCCAGCCGTGTCCTGCTGTCTGACACAACCATTTGTCTTGTTTCAGGGCCGCGCGACCTCTGGATATTCAAGCCGTATGCTTCTTCCTGCGGCAGAGGTGCACGAAACGCGCCTCGGACTCGTTTCACTTATTCACTCGTACGTGTGTGGTGGTCAGGCATTCGTTTGTTCTCCGGAGGCTGCAAGGTGTCCAAGTCTCGCAAGGGCGTCATGCAGAAGTACGGACGGGCAAGCAATGAGTGTCGAGCCATCTCAACCAAGCATGGCGCCACGTCTCCTTGCTGTCTTCATCAGGTATGTTTCGCCGCCTCTGCTGATCAACGGCTTCAAGTTCGACTTGAGGCTGTACGTGTGCGTCACCTCTTTCGATCCACTGCGGATATACCTATACGACGAGGGACTCGTCAGGTGCACACACGCGTACACGTGCACACACACGTGTTAGTCTTTCCTTCTTTGTTTGCGTCTGTCTCACTCAGGTTTGCCACCGAGAAATACCGGGACCTGGGTCGCCGCACACGAGTGTCCCGCCATCTGTCTTCTCGCCTGATGCACCTCACCAACTATTCCATCAACAAGTACTCAACCAGGTACATCAAGAACATGGACCACAGCAGCGGCAGCAACAGCCACGAGCAGGAACCAGCCGTCAGATCCCGATTCCCGATAAGGGTTCAGCAGCGGAAGATCGTCATCGAGTCGTCTGAGCCACAGAGCCCCGCGCAATCCATGACGAATGAAGCACCGGCAGCAGCAGTCAAGGCCCGGCGCTTCTCGGCATCGACGAGGCGGCCATCGGCTGCAGTCACATCAGTGCGGCGAAGCAACTCGGGCGTCACGTCAAACATACGGACAGACAAGGTGTCCGATCCCCCATCAGCTGCCGGCAGGAGAGACGAAGACGAAGAGAGCGAAGTACTGGAAGGATGGCGGGACACAGCTGACTCCGACATGCTGTCGTCCTCCTTCCAAGCGCTTCCAAGGCCATCAGAGGCCTTCCGGCGTGACAAAAGCGTCTCCAGCATCCGGCTGCGTGACAGTTGGGACGGCAGTGAGGACTGTGGGAGTGACTTGAGCGAGGAGGACTTCGAACCCGACTGGAGCAGGAGCGGTCTCAATGACTGCGAGGATGAGCACGATGGGGACGAGAGGGAGGACGACTCGTTCACTGTCGGAGACGAGGATGGCACGTCCACTGTCTCTGAGGAGACGCGGGAGGGCGAGGGCGACCTGTCACCTCCCCATTCACCTACGGGCGGATTTGGTGGGTTTGACGAGGATGATGAGGACGGCCCCTTTGACGAGTCGTGCTCAAAGTGGTCGCTGTCAGACGTCAGGCAGTACTTCAAAAAGCAAGGGTAAGTATGTCTCAACTGAATTCAAGACACACACGCACTCTTTGCCTTTGTCGTCTGTTTGCGTGCCTGATTGCTCCATCAGTTGGGATTGGTCTCACGTGCAAAGGCAGATTGATGACATCGTTGTCAAGACGCTCATCTCAGCCGAGCCGACCATTGCCAATGCCCTCAGGCGAGGGGCATCCCCCAACAACACGCAAATCCAGGGCTCACCATTCCCCGGAGCATACAAGGACAAGCCTGCCAATCGGAAGGGCACCATCGAAGCCAAGCAGGCAAGTCCGGCTGCCGGCAGCAACAGCAGCACGCTCACGCGGAGCGCCCCCAACTGCTTCGAAATCTATGGCTTTGATGTCCTTTTGGATCGCGACCATCGGGCCTGGTTGCTGGAGGTGAACGTGTCTCCCTCTCTGTCGTCGTCTTCGCCGCTGGACAAGCGCATCAAGACGGCCCTCATGGTCGACACTTTCAACCTCATCCGCCTCACACCGTTCTCACCTAAGTGCGTCAAGAGGGATCAGAGAAATCGGGACACGTCGAGACTGCTGGGCAAGCAGGGAGAGGACAAGGGTGGCCTCAACAGGGACAGATCGACTCGACAGCTCCCGCGAGGGGACAGCGGCGCGAGCATCTCTGCGAAGGATGTCGCCGAGAGTGCTGTGGACGAGACTAAGATGAGCCGCTTGGTCCAGAGTCTGATCAAGCAGGACCGTCTCGACTTCCGCGCCTTGAGACAGGAGGAGCAGAACATGCTATATGAGCTGCTGGAAGAGAGCGCGGTGCTAACGATGAGGGCACTAAGCAGCGAGGCGAAGGAGGGCATCGGGTCGGCGGGGTACCGACAGCTGTTCCCCGCTCCGGCGGCGTGGGGGAAGTACGGGCGTTTCTTCGAGACACAGCGGTACTCGGATGTTCTCATGGCCAAGTGGATGGATAAGAAGGGATAGGATTGTCGATTGCTGGGGATCACATATGCCAAATGAAGTATGCTGAGCCCTAAGGCAGGCAGACCCAATGGCAAATGGCGTATTGCAGACATGTCTCATGTCCATACTGCCTGAGAGAGACGGTTGCTCTACTGCTTGCTAAGCTAAGTCATTCGGTGTCTCCTCTTGGCTTCGTCAAGGAAACGCTTTGTTTGTTGCGATTCATATCGCTCTCCGCCATCTCAGCGACTCGAGCGAACTGTCATGGAGTTGATCCTTCCTTCCACGTCTGTGTCGTTTCTTCCTCATTCATTCCAGCTGTCCAAACGCCTGCCTGGCTGGGCCATAGATGTACACGGACGGCACCATACACACGATCGATCCGTCCATCCAGTTATGTACATGTGCAGTAGCTAAATGGGCGTGCCAGTGATCGAGTCAATCAGTCTAATCTCTCTGCGTCTCTTTCCCCCCATAGCCGCCGCCAGGAACTCCGCAAAGTCCTCTGGGTCTATGGGGGGCTCCTGAAAGCCCTCTGGGTCTTCCTTCTTGTCTGGGTGCTGCAGGCGATCCAGAATGTAGTCGATCGCCTTCTGCGCGCCCATCCCGCTGTCATCAACCAGATTGATGGGGGAATCCATGGTGCTCACCAGCTTACTGGTGTCGTAGTCCAAGTAATTGCAGTACCACCTCTCCTCGATGACACATGCACATTGCTTGATGCCCCGATCACGCATGAGCCGTATCAGGTCGTCGTAAGCCTTGTTGCTCAGCTGGACGCCCATCAGCACGGCAAACAGCGTCCCGTCGCTGCACACATCCACACACACACACATCGTAAATGGACACAGGCACGAACATCGCAGCCTCCCTCCTCCCTCCCTGTCTGTCTGCCTGTCTGTCTGTCTGTCTGCTGTCTGGCTGTCTGGCTGTCTGGCTGTCTGGCTGTCTGGCTGTCTGGCTGTCAAGCCACACACGCTGGCTGACCCTTCGCTATTAATTTTGAGGTTGAGGCCATCCTTTTCGATGACGAGGAGGGTGAATACGTCCTCCTCCTCCTCCTCCACCACCACCTCTTCCTCGTCGTCCTCGTCCCACTCCGGGTCACATGAGTCATCGTCGCCATCGCCATCATCACGCTCGTCGTCGGCGTCCGGCCCGTCCACGGCACACACAACCACCCGCCAATCGGTCTGACGGACCAGCTCATACATCTGCATTTAGGTACGTGGGTGGTTGATCGACACACAACACACAGACAGACAGACAGACAGACCGACAAGTAAGAGTGTGTGTTTGTATGTGGATGTGGATGTGCCACCCTCCCACGCATCAGTGGCCAGAAGTAATAGCCACCTAATGTAATGTTTCTTGGCCGGCGGCTCACTGATAAGGTCCTATTGATCAAACACACATGAAGACAACAGTGGGCGGGTCGGTGTTGCGGGGGTGTTGGCTGGGGAGTGTGTTCGTGTGTGTGCATAGGTATGTGTGTATTTGCTCACTCACTTGCCCAAGATGCCCTTGATTCCGGCCGAGTATGCGGAATCGAAGAAGAACCGGCGCATCTCAACTGGCACCGTCACTTTGGGCAGTGGAAGTCGTCTGTTGGCCCAAACTTGCAGCTTCCGTTGCTCTATGTTCTGCTGCGCAGGGTAGAACTCGGGCGTCCAATCCAACACCTGATCGATTAGCGCACACACAACACGCACGACCACAGCATGCAGACAGTCACATTCACATACTGACATTCAGTGCACTCGATTGCCTCTTCTCAGATCTCCCTACCTCCTCCTCATCCAGTGCGGCATCAGCAGGTGCCTGGTCAGCAGGCTCGGAGTGGCCTCCACCTGCGGCTTTCTCCGCTCTGAATGGCATAATGGTTGATCGGATCCGCCGAGGTGGGCTGCTGCTGACGGTGGGATGGAACGAGAATGCTCGGCCAGACCGAAGTACCGCACCAACCAACCAGCCAAGGCGCTGCAAACACCCGAACAAACAACATCTGTTCGGTCATCTGTGGACACGATCGCCTTTCTCTGCAGCAGATCTCCTCCTTTCGGTCCTTTCCCGCCGCAGAGGGAGCACCGAGTCCCGCTGATTTGCGAGCTGCTGGATGGATGGCCCTGTTTGTCATGATGGATGAATACGGGCTGCTTCGGCAGATGAGAAGGTCAGTTTACACAGACGACAAAAAGACCGACAGATCCGTCATCAACGAATGAATGAATCATCCTTGTCCCCTGGCTCGTTCATTCAGGTGCCGTTCACCGGCTTCCGCTCGATGCCCAACGAGGTGCTGTCCTACGCCGGCTCATTCTTCAGCACGACGTACGGCACCAAGCAGATCTCAGAGGTCTCCCGGCACTTCTGCACATGCGTCACCGGCGAGCCATCATCGAGCATCATGAAGCCCCACACCGGACGGGCCGGCGGAGCATCATCCCTCTACAGCCACCTGCACATCGACAAGGAGGTCTTCTGGAACCTGCCAGCCCACGTCACGAGCCGGCTTGAGCGCACCCACCACCAGAGCATCGTGGTCAAGATGGATCCCAAGTGGCCCGTTAATGAGATGGTCATCGCCGCCATCCGCCGCTCGCCCGCCGTGCTGCAGAAGCTCGTCATCACCACACTCGACGGCATGGAGAGCGAGAAGTTCCCTGCTGACGGGCAGGTGCCCGGCAGCCCCCCTGCTGTAACGCCTCCCCCCCCCGCCGACCGCATCGTGTTCCCTCACGTCTGGAAGCTGCATGTGGACAGCCTGCGGTACTTTGTGCGCATGGTTACCGAGGGCTTCGAATGGTACGTAAGCCATCGATGACACACGACAGCCAGGGGGACGTAGCTATGCGCCCGTGTTTGTATGAGTGTATGTGCAGGCCCGAGCTGATTGAGCTGGAGGGCGACATGTTCTGCGGCATGGACTGTGAGAACGACAGATACGATGATGACCGCATCACCGAGTCGTTCGTCGACCAGCCGTTGGCCCACTTCCTCAGCACGTCCAAGAAGCTGCAGCGACTCTGCATCTACCCATTCACACCTTGTAAGGTGACACCCACCCAGACACACCAACCAGCCTGCCTGGGTGTGTCAGACCCCCGTCGGCTGCCGCATTCCTTTCCCCTCCTCGTGAGCATGACCCACCTGACCATGCTCGACTGGTTCTGCATTCACGACAACCTGTCGCACCCCGACGCACCCTTCGACGCGCTGCAGCCGTTCCTGGATGTGCTTCGGCAGCTGTGGGGCCGCAGGAACGACACCAAGAAGAAAAGGGCGACACTGTGGTGCAAGCTATGCGTCGATGAGCGGCTGACGGGCCGGATGACCAGCACTGCTGGACCTCACGGACTGAGCGGTGAGGAGAGCAGCCACAGTGGGGCTGCGACGAGACATCTGTGGGGGTCATGTGGTGTGTGCAGCTGTCGGGTTCATCGAGCAGCTGGAGACCATCGGCTGCGAGGTCACGTACAGCAACTGGAGCATGTGTGTGGCACAGACATTCCACTCCACACCACAGCCCTTCATGCGCCTATCGACACTGAGTTGGATGCCTTCTGTGTCCCCTGTCAGCATGAAACTGGATTGCGTGAGTGTCGAAAACAATGTCGTCCATCCGCCGCCTCTCCACCCGGTCGTCCGCAGAATGGCCGAGGAACTCGCCGCAGTGTCAAAATATGGTGCCATATGAGAGCCACCTGCCCCGGCAGATGTGCATGACTCATGTGACTTTCTGTGTGCCTTCGTCGATCAGTGGAGATCATCTATGGGGGTGTCCGGCTGCCTGAGGTCAGCCACAGACACACAAACAAGCACGCGCATCAATGCACCCACAACTTGGATATGTATCTTTGGTGCATTTGTCAGCGATGGAGCTTCCTACCGCCGTTCAGTGGGGCGTCGGAGCTAACGATATCCTTCAGCCGGAGCAACGACGAGTTGCTCGACGTGCATGATAACGACTTCAGCACCATCCCCAACTTCCTCATCAATGAGCCAGAGCGCTACCCCAACGTCGAGGACCTCACTCTCGAGCGCATCGGCCGATCGACGGGCGGCGACAGCGTCATTACCGCGCCGCCCAACCCTCTCAGCCGCATCATGACGAACGCCCTGCCGTCCTTCCAGCGGCTGTGGCTTAACTACATGGGCCGATCGACCACCGCCAACTGCCTCTTGTACCTCAAGGTCAGTCAGCTTAGCTCCATCTGTGAATGAATGCCCATCAATCCGTCAATCTGCGTCCTTATTCATCTGTTTATTTGACAGGATCGCACCGAGAAGCTGGAGAAGTTGGGAGTCTACTGCCAGCGTGTGCCAGTGGAGCTGCCCCCTTTGGTGCTCGCCCCGCCCCTCGCACCGCCCGTCAAGGAGCTGTCCATCACCCAGATCGATGGAATAGTCTCGGCAGCCAGCATGTGGTCGCTCTTCAAGCTGGCCCTCCTGCTCATGCCCGACATGGCCACAATCATGCTGTGGGTCTCACCTACTCAACCAGCGCAGACCGCCCGGGGGGCGGCCATGGAGCTCATGCAGTGTGTGCGGCGGTGCGGGCAGTATTACGACGTGCAGCTGCCCATTCCCGAGGGCGACCCGGACGGCGACCAGTCGCCCACATTCATTGTCGAGATGACCAAGAAGGCCGCCATAGACCGACTGGCGTAGAGGCGGGGAGGGAGGGAGGGAGGGAGGGAGGGAGAGGGACAACACTGACTGGCCAGTCGCCCGGCCACGGACGGCAGTGACTGAATTGTACAGAGTTTGTCACTGCGTCCACGTGGTCTTGATATGGAATAGCTTGCTAAACGACCCACGACGACTCTATTGGGTCACGTGGTCGATGGATGGCCTTGTCGTGCTGTGATGGCACCCGCCGTGCTGTCTGTCTGTCTGTCTGTGTGTACGTGCATGTGTTGTGGACTTTGGAGTGTGTCATTCAATGGACGGATGGACGCACACGGCAGCCACACACACACACACATGATGTATGTGTCGCATGAACGTCACTCATACCTGTCTGAATGGGGGGTTCTGTATGTCTGAAGGGGCAGAAGGCAGTCATCCCATCGATGGGGTCGCAGCATCAAAGTCCGTTTCACGTTGAAGAAAGCTTGGCTTGCGTGTCTGCTGCGCATATGGCACAGAGAGCTTGGCCGCACACGGAGTACACTTAATAAGTCTGTCGGAAATTGTTGAATGACGAGACACCCTGATATAAAACGTAAGCAACGATGCTGTCTCCTTCTGAGGGGGTGGTGTGTGTGCAGCGCCTTTCTATCTCGCCCTCCTGACTGACCAGTAAGTACCCACCCACCGTGTGTCCGTGTGTGTGCGCCCAGCCCATGTCCATCAGAAAGGGAAAAAGGTGCCTAGACTGCCCGGGACCGAGGCGTGTACAGGACGGCGCGACCAACCAGTACGGCAATGCAGGCAGACAGAGTGCCTATCTCTCCCTCTTTCTCCCCTCCAGCCATCCAGCCAGCCATCGGCCATCCATTGGCCATCCGAGCTGCTACCTCCACCTCAACATCCCGTTCCTGCAGGCCCGGCTCTATCTGGATGGGGTCGGTCCAATAAGGTCCGAGAGTGCTGCTGCAAGACACACATACACACACACACGAATGCATGCATCCATGTGTCCACTCTACGGAGTCCCTTCTTCCCTTCTTACTTGGTCTGTGCACCGGCGACTCTGCGCTTCTTGCGCCGTTTGACGAGCTCGAAGGCGTCACCGAGGGGCTTCTCGTCGCGCCCCGCCTCTGCATGATGTGTGTCACGTGTGTGGACACTTACCCAGGACCCGGATCCTAATCGGACGCGCTCTTGAACACCCACCCCACCGCCGAGAATTTGCGAACAGCTGACCGACAGGAAAGTCGGGCCGATTCGCCATGACCTGAACCGCAGGCTCTCGCCTGAATACATAAATACACACACACACACACACAGAGAGAGAGAGAGAGACTGCCTCTGCGATGATTGTGATGTTTCTCTCGTTGGACAGGATGTCTGATCATCTGTGTGATGGTGTGTCCGTCAGGTGTCAGTGCGTGAGCTGGCCGACTACACCAACGCATACGCCGACTTCCAGGCTAGCACGTCCATGGCATTAATGTGCATGGATCTGTTTGTTGTGGCCTGCCTGCCTGCCTGCCTCACTTGCAGCACGGCACCTACCGGGCCTTGCATGTGCTCCGCCAATGGGATGGGGGGCATGTTGAAGCGCCTCTTCCTGAAGAGGTGGTTGGGGAGGGTGAGCGACCCCAGGGCCATGTTGAGCGCCTTAAAGCCGCAGGAGAGGTCGTAGCAGTCGTTCCGGGGGCGATGCTCCTGGAACCAGAATGCGACCTCCCGGCCGTGGTCACCGGTGAGGTGGATGTACTCGCCGCTTCTGTCGTGGTCCGGCATGCCGGGGTTCTGCCCACACACACTGTCCATGGCGCTGAACATGGCGCGGTCCTCTGCACGAATGCATGCAACGCACAAAGAACACACACTCATCACATCATGCCTAGGTCACACACGCAATCGCGCATATGTGCGCACCTGCGGTGATGTGCGGTGGTGCCTCCGCGCGCGCGTTGGGCGGACCGAACGGCGGCTGGGGCGACGGCTCATGAACCAGCCCAAGTCCCATCCCCATTCCCCTCTGCGACGTCCTCTGCGTCCCCCTCTGCATCCTCCTCGGCAACGTGAAGGTCCCCGAGCTGTCCGAGCCATCCACGACGAGCTGACTGCAAGTACAAACATCCGCACACGCATGGCATCACCACATATGTCAGTCCACCCACCCATCCCTCCCTCCGCTCCCACGAGCTCCTCCTCACTCACCTCCTGATGGCACCCTGATGTGCTGATAAGGCTGTCGATTGGGTGGCGGCGTTTCATACGGGGTTGCCGGGCCGCCCTCCTGCAGCTGCTGCAACTGACTGCTGCGGCGTCGACGTCCCCATCGGAGTGCCGCCCTCCATGCAATAGCAATGCCCTCACTGCTCGCTGTGCAACTTTAGTTGCGGGTGGTGGCGCGCCCTGCGGTCTCTTTCTTCGAGGGAAACGAGCTCTTTCTTGAAAAGAGAGAAAAAAACGCAAAAACTAGGGTTTGCAGGGTGTAATTGTCTCCATTCTCGTCGCATTTGTTGGACAATTCTCTACTGCGTTCAGTCAGAACACATTCTCGGTGAGCGAGGTCACGGTGTGCTCTCTCCTCAAAAGAGCCGTCAGTCAGTCACTCATTCATCGCGGGCCCACTCACTTTGCCCCTCCATTTACCAGACGATCACTCCACGCCAGCCAATCCACACACGCCTTTCGCGCACAAAGACAACCCCCTCCCCTCCCTCCCTCTCCCACCACCTTCTTCATCTCATCTCTGTCGATGCATCCCCCGACCCGCCCTGCTGCCTAAAGTCATCGAAATGAAAGAATATCCGCTTCTTGTCAGGCGTGGGCCATGGGGTGGCCGGCAGGTTGTTTGGCTCCCCTTCTGGGCTCTCCTCGGTCGGGACAAAGCCCAGGGAGCCCTTCCTGTATCGCCCAAGAGCATACCGCCTCAACACACTCATCTCAACCGCCGTCTTGCCCCTGCAAGCAAGCAATGCATCCAGGCAGGTGCCAGTGAGAGCGTGGGTGTGGTCAGACGTCACTCATGGCTGACTGACCATGAAATGCCGTGGTTGTCGGGGCCTGATGATCGCTCCTTGGCCTGGTTGAGGTTGAGGCACGTCAGCACGCCGAACACCGTTGGCGTCATCGTCTGTAGCTGCACCTGTACAAGGGCCCGCACACCCACAGAGAGAGGGAGAGAGAAAACTTCTGCGCGTGTCGTGTCTGTGGCCATCTCTGCATCAGTGTGTTTCGCACGTTCATGAGTCCGTTTGAGACGCTCTCGGCGATGTACTCAAAGTGCAGTGTGTCGCCCTTGATCAGCACACCAATCGACACGATGGCGTCCACCTGGTTGGACAAAGCCAGGAAACGCGTCGCGAGAGGCAGCTCATAGGAACCTGACACACACACATGAATCAACGAATGAATGAAGAAGCCATCCACGCGCCGCTTTGAGTCAGTAAGGCACCCACCAGGCACTTCTATTTCCAGAATGTTCTCCGCAGGCACAGAGCACTCAGTCAAGCCCTCCTTCACACCCTGCACAAAACACACCACAACACACCACAACACAGACAGAGAGAGAATCACTCATTCACTCATGAGTGATGGTGATCTCACTGGTCATGCACCTTGACAAGGTTATCCACAATGTCTTTGTTCCACCGTGTCTTGATGATGCCGATCTTGACGTCGCTCCCATTCAGTGGCGGAAAGTCCACTCCCTCCCTCGGCGCCACCATCCTCAGCTTGCTGGCCACATCTCTCTGCCACGCACTCGGCATGAATAGCGACGCCCGCACGTGGCGAGTGCCGGCGCGGAGCCGCCGGACCGATGACGCGGGCAGCGGCGGCAGCGTGGGCGAGTAGAATGACACCGCCGATGGAAGGGCGTGGAGCAGCAACAGGGCTGATGATGAAAGAAGGAGCCACATCTTTGCTGCAATCTGTTGCAGGGGGCTATAGACGAGAGATCTGCCCCTGTTCTTTTCTTCCCTTCCCTCCCGGTTGCGAGCTTGCCTGCAAGCCCAGCTCGCAGGTCTCCTCTGGGAGCGTTTTGTGTTGGCGGAGACTGATACAAAGGAGCAGACGATGAGTGACGTCGTGGTTCGATGAGTCGATTCATCCTGGTGGGCCCGGGCTTGTGTGTTGGTGAGTGAGTGGCTGTCTGCTGGCGAAATGACAGCGCCTTCCGCCTGGCCGTCGCCCGAGCAGCTGTCCCCTCTCCTGCAGCAGTGTCTGGAGGCCATCCACAGCCTCCTCAGCGCCACAAACCACAGCACCGCCAAGAAAGCAGAGGACCAACTCACCAACGAGGTGGCTTTCCATCCCCTCTACCCGTGCGCCCTGGAGCACATCATATCGGCATCTGCGGCAGACGGCAGCCACCAGCAGCATGCCATTGGCCCGGTGCGTCAGATGGCCTGTGTGTTGATGAAGCAGCACGTCAAGCAGAGGTGGCGGTGCAGCGACAAGGCTGAGGGGGTGGTGCTGGTTGAGGGTGAGTTGAGGGAGCGGCTGCTTCGGCTGATCGTGTGCGAAAGGGACGAGAGGGTGAGCTGTGCGATGCTATGCTATGCTATGCGCTGAGCGAATGAATGACACACGCACATGGCCGGGAAGTTGTGTTTGCTGATGTGTGTGTGTGTGCAGGTATCGGCTCAGGTTGAGGCCATTCTCGCTGAGATTGGTACGTGACAAGGAGCGCACCAATGGTATGGTGGATGGACCATTTATTTCATTTGTCTGTCGTGTCCATCCATCAGCCGTGTACGATTGGCCGGACCGGTGGCCTTATCTGCCGCACCGCATCGTGCAGTTGCTGGACGAATCGCGGGCACACGGCACGGCAGCGGTGATAGCCGCCCTGCGGTGCGTCAAGGGCATTCTTGCGCGGCTGCTCGACCATGTGGCTGCGGTAGAGGACAAACGGCACTTCTTGAAGGTACACACCAGGAGGGTCAGATGGTGGGCATGTGGGTGTGGATCTCTCTCTGTCTGTCTGTCTGTCTGTCTGTTTGTCTGTCTGTCTCTCTCTCTCTCCCTCTCTCCCTCTTTCTGTTTGTGTGTGTGCTGTGTGGAATCAGCTGTGTATGGCGGTTGCCGAGCCGTTGGTGCGGCTGTGGCGAGAGGCGATGGACGCGATCAGCAAGACGATGCAGCAAGGCGGCGGGCAGCAGCTGCCGAATGACGTGCTGCTCGTGGCACGCCTGGCCACAAAGGTGGTTGATTGGTGGACAGAGAGAGGGACCAATACCGCACTACGAACGATGTGGCCATGTGCGTGTGCGTGTGTGGTGTGTCAGTGTCTGAAGCATGTGGTGTTGGGTGTGGAGGAGGGCTCCTCATTCACGGCCTTATTCGACCCGGCGGCATTCCAGCTGGTGGTGCAGTTCGCGCAGGACCTGCACGCTGCTCTCGACGTGATCGGTCCGTCCAACGCCACACACGCACACACATACATCGACACCATTATGTCAGTTTCTCTCTCTCTCTCTCTCTCTGTGTGTGTGTGTGTGTGTGTGTGCGTGTGTGTCAGTCGGTCACGAGAGCATGCGTGTGCCGACTCCCAATAGCGCTCTAGCGCCTCTGTTCAAGAGCGTCTGCCGGGCAGTGTTGGCCATCCTCGTGACAAGCCCTGTCGCCCTTGCGACGCGCATCACGCCACTGCTGCACATCAACGCTACGGTGAGCCCTTCTTACGCATGGCCATGTGGTGGGGGCATGCGAGTGTGGGTGGTGTGAAGATGTGCCGCAGCGCGTTTCGTCCGTGGCGGTGTTTGAGCATTCGGTTCTTCACTGAGGTGCTGAGCTCGCCCGCAATGGAGACCGACCATGCCGCGCACATCGGCCATGACGCACAGCAGTACCTGGCCACATGTACGGGAGCTTAGATGGATGGCTGGAGGGATGGATGGATGTCAGAAGATACTCACTCGTGCACCTGTCTGTGCGTTGGTTGCTATGCAGCCGGTGGTGTGTCTGCCCTCCATCAGTTCCAGCAGGGCTGTGCAGCTTTCTTCGCCGACCATGCCGCGTCGCTGATGGCCTTCTGCACCTACTCGGTCTTCTGCCTGTCCGACGGACAGGTGTGTGAGCTGGTGGACGACATAGAGGGCTGGATCGATGCAGACGACGCGCCACTTGACGACTCACCAGATGTGCAACCGGAGAGACAGGACACACGCCCTCATGTGTGTGTGCCAAGTCGGCGACACTGTGTGTGTGTGTATGTGTGTCGGCGGCAGACAGACGCAGGCCGAGACCCTGCTGTCCACCATCGGGGCATACAGCACACAGGCATGTGCCCAGTTCTTCGCAAACGAGTACAGCAAGCTGCACACGCGTGAGCGGACAGAGGAAGACACAAATAGACATGAAGCTCCCCCCCCCCCCCC